GTTAATAACGTATGAACCACTATACCAATAAATTGTTGTGTAAAAACTCTTTATTACTCATAAACACATAAATAATATAACAATATAAATGTATATATAAACAATAATTAAAAAAAATAATAAAGGATACCTAATTACACATAGCTACCTAGTATAATACATTATAACTTAACTCTTAACTACACGCGCAATTTTGTTTTCAATAATTACACGCACGATGTATTTTATACACTAATTAGATTTACACAGAAATCAATGTCGTATTGTAGATACATTTAACTTTATTTACTTATAAAAGAACAAAGTACTACTTAATATTGTTTTAAATTTAATCATATAATAATAGTACATAAAAGAAAAAATACATTGTTATTACTATATCTATTATAATTGATAAAAATAAATATATCTTACATTAATTATTAGGTATTAACTTAAATGAAATCTCACTCGCTATCCTGACGTATTTTGGATGTTTTTGAAAAAACATTGTTTTGTTGCACCCCATTCTTTGCTTATTTAATTCACCGATATAAAAATAATTTAATACGGAGCTTGTTTATACGCTGCTATAAACATTGAAATATCGAATGATGATTGAAATAGATTAATATCCAACATATTATTTTAGATAAGGAAAGATTAGATTAGGAAAATAACTGAAAACAAATGTAAATCAAAATAGAACAAAATAAATAAAAATATTGGTATATAAAGCACACCAGCGCGTGTAGTTAATATAGGGTTAATATAGTTAATTAATTCTATAACACTACTAAACTACTCTTATATAAAATATTAAAGTTACCATATTTATATTGTATTCCTTCATATTTATACTAAACTTGTGTAATTTTCTTAAATAATTATTTTCATATGTATTAATAATCATTTTAAAACATCTATTGAAAAGTTTACATATATATAGTTAAATGCAAAGATATGATTTTAAAATATAAATTAATTATTAATTTGCATCAATTTAAAAATAAAGTTGACACAGACTTATAATTGCCGAAACTATGAATAACAGCTTATAGTGTTTAATTAGAGGAAGATATTTAAAATGCCACTATTTTAAGGAGGACATTCGTCATAGGTACACCCGTCTTATGTGCTATATCAAACCGTATCTTAAGTTCAAATTAAAACTTATAATTTTCAAGTACTTATAATTTTAAAGTAAAAAAATATCTAAAATACTTTTTTGCTTGAATACAGTTTATATATTATTCTCTTTCGACAATTTAATACGTTGATTTGCTATATTATTACGTTGTGTAAGAAAGATACAAAACATTATGCGGGTATGATGCCATCTTATTAAATATTTAATTATTTTTAAAACATAATGAAAGTTTCACAATAAAATTACTATATGTATAACTTAAGTACCAACTAAGAAAAAAATTAATTAATAATAACGTCTCTTATTTAATTGAATTGTTATTTTTTTTTCTCTATGTTAACTATAAATTTAGAGAATTAAATTTTAAAATATTTGTTTTAAGTTTATAACTATTAACTTTATGTTCTTAATTTTGACTTAAATTTACGTAGACACTCAAGTAATTATTTTTTTCTATTGATTTTCTACCCATCATTGGTTAATTTTTTGTACCCATTAATAAGACATTAACTAAATGTTACAAAATAATGTTTATTTTCTGATTTTTCTTTTTTACCCGAATATGGTTATTTATAGTTATTCAAACGAACTGATTAAAGTTGTACAGCAATCATTAATACTAAATAATACATAAACATTATATCACGCATATATTGCTTATGAATTATAAAATTGGTTACCAAATCTTGAATCGTGCAGAATATATATTTTATTAATAAGCCACTTTATAATGTCATAAATTCCATCAGAAAAAACGTATTTTATAACAAAAATACTCACTGACAACCTAAAATTACGATGAGCCATTTGATTCGGTTCCAAATGATGTAAATTAAACTGAAGCACATATGTACACATATACATATAATGGAGATATTATATGAAAAGCTTTAGATGATGCTTAGTTGATAGGACATTGAATGGACGGTGTCCAATTACAGCAATAATATAATCGTCATTTATATATATATCATTTGTATACATTTTATTTAAAGTTTTTCATACATAGATGGGTTAGGGGAGGAAAAATATACGATGAAAGTGCTGCCAAAAAGCCAAAAGGTATTGTGTATATATTATCTAAATATTATATGCAGGATCGTATATATACTATTATTATAGGAAGGGTTTATATTATAATATAATGAACTATAGATAGATACTATATTGTATATATATATATATGTATATGCATTATTGAAACAAGAGGAAAATAACTTAAAAAATATTTTAATAATTTTTAACTGAATTTTTGATTCAAATTAAAATAAAATAATATTACGATTTGGAAAAAAGACTATTTATTTATAAAATACTTTATTATAGTTTTTATACATATCATAGTATAGGTACGTTTAAGTTGAACAGTTCGGTAAATTTTAGCTCGATCGATCTTTAAATCATTTAAAGTTTATAAATGATAAACCAACCTATACGTTTTCAAGTCATAGACTAGTCAAGAATAAGTAGTGGAAGGCGTTGACGGCGTTCAGTGTTATAAAATATATAAAATATAGAAGGGCGTAAAAACGTGTTCGATACGAGATTTAAGTCACGTATTTTCGTGAAAAGGTGACGGTCACCGCGATTTTACGGCCTAAGTCGTCTCACGAGGACGCCCGCGGCTCACACACATTTATATATATTTATTCTTGACGTCTGAAAGCTTTTCGCTGTAGTTTGGAATAGTTTATATATATAAATATGAGTGTGTTTTTGAGGGAGTATTATCTCACTCGAATACACTTGACACGTGTAAGTATGTATAGTATATATATACAGGAGTTAAAAAATATGGAAAAATGCACATGTATATCAATTTTAAAACTTTTCAAATACCGTGCAATATAATATACTCTGCAGTATATGAAGATATTCTCAAGCAGTTGTAAGTTGTAGTATATACAAGAATCTATTTTCTCTTACGTAAAATTGTGCAGAGTTTCCTCTGTATGTGTTGGGACTTTTTTATACCGAATACGCGTATATAGGGTTGGTTTTTACGTCATCCCTCGCCCCCCCGATTCGCGTGCACGTATATCGTGACTATAAAATATATCGCACGCGCCTCGAAACGCATCTCCACGCGGCTACTATAATACATATATAGGAGAATACGCTGCTGTAACGAGAGAGATATTTAGAAAAAAAGCAAACACACACACACATACAATTCCATATATACAAAATATCATCCCCCTTGCGATGAATGATCGTAAACACCGACGTCGGCCGTGGTGGCTTATAAGCGTGTAATACAATTTTTCCAGGACGATGGCACACGTACGTATATAATTATATATATACAAAGTGTGTGTGTGTATGTGTATAAAAATCGACGACAACAATAGTAATAATATATCTATATACATACATATATATATACAAGTATAAAATCTATGTGCGCGAGAGTGAGTGTGCGTGTGTTATGACATTTGGATTCGGGCCGCGTAAAAAGCTAAAAGAGATTTTATGGCGTATGATATATATTATTATTCTATACGTATATTGTATTTGTCTACGCGTATAATACAGCAATATAATATAAATATAACGCATGAAGATACTGTTCGGTGTTTTTATCAATTTTTATTATGATTAAGGGGTTATATATATATATATATATATATATTGCGAATATAGGATATATACATTTTTTTTTTGTACACAAATTCTAAAGAGTCGTGGTATATAATATTATATTGTATTATTTAATACAGACGTGTACAAGTATATAACATACTATACATGTCTTTTCTATACGATCATAAGAGACATTCATTTTTTATTTTTATTTTAATATGCGTAATCGCAGATACAGAAATTAATTTGATCTAATTTTACTAAATATTATATTAATATAAATAAAAAAAAGTATTCAACTTATATCGATTACAATTATAATTAATATATAATATTATCGCGTGTATTAATAATATTGATTCCACAACCACTAACTCTGTGATTTATAATTTCACCGAGAAAAGTTCAAAATTATCAAAAAATATGTGGATTCAAATCGTGCGGAATAAAAATTATCAATGATAAAGGTTCCGGTTCAAGTCTAAGACTAATTGGATTTGAATACATACACATTTTAATAACTAGGTAGGTATTAGATACTTTTGTTGATTCAATATATTTTGATAGAAACCATACACAAATTAAGATATTAGTTATGTCTATAGATTCCATTGTTAAAATCTCCTTACATTTAACTGATGAAACTAATTTGTTTTTACAATCTTTGACCGTAAATAAAAATGTATATAATGATTATACTGTAAATATAATAAATTTTAAGTTTACATGCTTTTTTTGGTTTTTAGTTTCAATAGGTCGGTATATAAACGGATACCTACTATAAATTATAATCTAAATACACTTAAACACGCCATAGAATGAAATATCATTGTTTTAATACCTACCTACTTATTTAATAAATTAATTTGAAATTTTAGTATTTTTGGCCAGTGCGTGTTCATAAGATTAAGTTAGAGTTTTCACTCGAAAATCGTATTTTATGTTTTGATTTGGCGATGTATATAATAAAATAATGTAATGGATTATACCTATTTTAATATTATTATAAATATAATGAGGATCTAATTTTTGTAACGTTAAGTCCATTATCACATTATATATATTTTGTATCGGCTGCGCCATCTATAAATAAAATAAGGACGTTTTAACTCAACAAAAGTAATGATTTGTCTGACCTACCTACCTGTATGCATTTTCTACGAATAAAGAACTTAAAAAAAGTAATTGAAAAACGAGCATTACAAAAAAATTAAAAATCTTTGAATTACCGGCAATAGAATCTGTAATAATACTATATTATTCAATTAAATAATATTATATAACTCACCAAAATGCAAACAACATCGTACTTGATCGAGCCTCTATTTCACCTATGTCGCCCTCTATGTTTCCCCAATGGTTTGAATGAATCTGCACCCTCGTTGCGTGACTTCTAGACCGTAGTGAATGGCAAAAGTGCACTGAATGTATCTGTTAATAATATACGATTTGATTAATATACTGCTATCGCGGGAAAACTTAATTTTCGGTTATTATTAATCACACTTTGTATTATTTGATAGGCACTCGATAGGCAACTTAAATAGGTTACAAATAATGCGAGAACAATGATAAAAAATAGTAATACATTTTCAGTTATTAACGACAAAAAGTTAAAACAAATTATAATCTATTGACAACATCGTAATTAATCATTTCCAACACTAACAACAGTATAAATTCTGTGTTAGTGTATTTAGAACTAATTGTTGTTATCGGTAACTGTCCTTTTGCGATGGTACAGAAATGTTGGTTTAAGATTGTTTTGACAGAGGACGAACCAAGTTAAACAATATTAAACATGAGAATTACATTGATGTTTTCAAGAAAAACAAATTTTAATTATAAAAGTGTCGTATTATTTAATACAGAACTTAAAAATTGTGTAGGTAGTAAAATATAACATAATATCTTCGAAAATGAACAAAGTATACGGAAAATGGCAATTAATAATAAAAAATACCGTACCCACAGTGCCATCTAGCGAACTCTTTGTTCAGATTTCTTTACCAACAACTGAGACGTTCAAATTCGAAATCTAGTATGAATATTGTAGTATTAGATATGTGTATTTCATCACAATAAATTGAGTTAAAACTATATAATTAACTATAACAAATCTTAAAACTCCAAATTATCATTGTTATATTTAACACTATAACTGTAAGATCTAAGTCACTTAGTCACTCCTGCTACACCTTTTTGTAACTTCAGTTAATTAAAATATATATTCGATTACGATTATTAGAAGGTCAAGTAGATTTAATTTTTCTTAAAATGCATACCTAATAAATAATAATTTGGGTCAGAGATAAACAAATTGATTAAATGTATTTTATAGCCTAACATAATATTATGAATCCGTGATAAAAATATTTATTAGAAATGCGATTACTTAACAGTTAAAAAATTAATTTAAAAAAATAATTATTTTAGGTGACGACTGATCAACCTTCCTTTAATATAGGTGTTATATTTACTGTACAAATGAGATTATACAAAATTACACTAGATACGGTTAAAGTTGCTTAAATTTATCTTTCATCGTGAAAAAAAAAACACGAGACAACTACTAAAATGTTTAGTCATCATAAAAAAAAATCAATTTTCTTGCAATTTAAATTTTGAAATTAATCTTTATCTACACTGCAATATTAATTCATAAAGCCCGTTTTTGAAAAACATAATGAATATAATCAAAGTCATTATAATTATGTATATACAGCCAGCTATATGTTCATAATATATTGAATATTGAATTTTGATAAACGTGTAAATTAGTATAGCGATGCGGCTATTTCCAAGCCTGTTTGGATTATCACGTCTTTCGAATTAGCTTATGTTCGGACTAACTAGACCCTACTGTGTATATATATAAATATATATAGATAACTTGAAATAATTTATCATTTATTTACCCATTATTTATATATTCATATTTTTTATGAGATAATTATTCTTATAACTATTATGACTACAACTTTGAATATTATAACTTAAACATTATAGTATATATATATATATATATACTATATTGTGTTATTTCTGGTTAACGTACCTATACTTAATGCGTATATTGATATTATACTTATAATAATAGACGTATGTTTGATCAACTATTAAAATAAAATTAACTTCGTGAGCGTGAATCGTAAAATGTTAATGAATATTAAATACTATATGTGCTGTGATTCTACATTGCTATAGTCTAAATATTATCCTATATTTCAAATCTTATTAAAAAAATCGTAAAATCTCCAACAGTTTTGAAGTTTAATGACTAACTATAGTTAATTTTAAATAAAATACCAAACTGCGCGTATACTATTTATACAAATATAGGCAAGTGATTTTTAATAAATTAACTGTTTTCAGAATCATACTATGTGTCAATTATAAATACATCTAATACAACAATATTATTATGCTAATTATCTTGCTCATGAGTACATGATGTGACCGTTGGCCAAGTTTTTAACATTATGTATGATATAATATCAATTACTAATTCGATACAGTAATGATTTGTAAACAAAACAGTAAAATGATTAAAAACATGGCTGAATAGTGAATACATTTAGTGATTATACCTATGTTCCAATAAAAATGATACAATTTATAGTACATATACTCATTACCCAATCGTGTATGTATAAGACATAAATACTATGAAAATTTAAAATAATTTTAGTGATTAAAAAAATGTCAGTATAAAACGCCAAAAATGTTGTTATACTGTTTACATTCAAACTGACACGCGCACAAAATATAGAGGCCAGTCTACCGCCTATGACTAGAACGCATGCACCAAAGCCGAATATTTTCATTACACACTTGTCACCGGATAAATATTACACCTCGAAATGGAATGATATGTAGTTAAATTCTTTGGGCATATCACATAATGTATTGCAATATAATAGCTTTTATTTCTTTTATTTACAATCTATACGAGTATAATGGATATATGTATACAAACACCGGATACCTAAGTATATATATATATATTTATATGTTTATTTATATCCGTCTAGGTCACAGAGCCGTATTTCTTTTGAAGTCTGCCGAGGGTGAGTATTTATTCGACATTTTATTGAACCGAACTGCAAAGAGTAAACACAGGCACTCGTACCATATTTTACAAGCATTTTTTCCCCCTTTTTTTTTGCTCTAGTTATATCGTTATATCAGGGTCATTCTCCGGCGGCTTGCAGTAGGTACGGATCAGAAAAAATACTATGTCCAGTTGATGTACATTATATTATGTGTATATTATATAGATCCACGTACCGATTACAAAATTTCAAAAACACAATGAGACGATGGTTAACCCTTTCGGTTTTACGACTATCTACGTCTTCAAGGTCATACACAAACGAAAATATTTCCTGAACTTAGTTTGTAATTTCAAGTATCAAAATAATCATAAATACATAATGATATATAATACAACAGCGTCACTGATATTAAACTTAGTTCTAGATTAAAAATAATAGTTTTAAATCAGCAGCAAATTATATATACTGAATAATTATACATGAGTCATGTAACATTATTGTGATTTTTATTATGACTAAGGTTCGGATTTTGTGGCAAATGCTTCTTTTAAGGCGAGTATGATAGAAAGATAATTCTTATACATAAATACGTTTTGAATCGTTCCAATTTTAATGAAGTAAACTTTTTTTTGCTTTTTTCCACAAAACCTGCTTTTTATTACTTTTTCCCCTATTTGATTCTTTTATCTTGATTTTTACATATTTTTTTTGAAAATTTAACTTATTTCTATATATATTATACATGGACTATATTTTTATTACCAGAAATTATAAAACCAGTGAAAAAACCAGTAAATAATGTATGTCTGATAAAATAACTATGGTTATTGTGCCAAAATAGTTTTATCTACAATTATTTATAGTTGTATTTACATGAATTCAAATGAATTAGTTTATATGAAATATGCACCGATTACATCGGTTGACGTAGAAAGGTCTTTTTCTATGTATAAAAATATATTAGCACCCAATACCCAATAGAATGAGTTTTAATGAAAGTAACTTAACTAAATACATGGTCGTAAATTCCATTTTTAATATTTAATTTTTTGTGTAATTGAAATTTATTTTTTAGAATTAAATTTAATAAATGCTTTTCTTTGCTTTTTTAAGGATTTATTTTGCTACAAATCCGAGCCCTAATTATGATTGTATGCGTCCTAAAATAGAAGTAAATACAAAAAAAAAAAACAATTTAAATAAAGAACGTCAAGACTTGGGAATGAACATAGTTGGCCAAACATTTATAAAAACGATAATGTAGGTATACATAATTATAATTATTATGGGCGTATAACGCTACTGTTTATATTATTATGATAATATTACAGAAAGATGTGCGTGTATTTTTAAAAAGCTAGTGTAATTATGTGATGTAAAGGTACTTAAACATACTTAATGTGGTATATTTATATACGTAAAACATATATTATAGAAAGTATTTTATGTAAATATTGTAGTATATTACAGAAATTAAATAAATAGCGTTTATATTCAGTAGTAAAATATATGCGATGACACAAATGATGAAACTTTCGATATTTTACAAAATATAAACATATTAATTATATTATAAAGATATAACTATACTATTGTTTGATATACAAACATACACTTGTGTTCATTATATTATTTTAAAAGATAAAAATAACTGATTTTTTTTTTTGAGGGGGGAAATATTATTGTAACTAATCGATAAAATTATGCTGTTATAATTCTTCATTCTATCAAACCAATCAAAATATACATACATTATACGTCAATTCATATAGAAATAAATGATAGGAAAAAAATATGACAATAGCATATTATTATAAATACCTATAATAATAAGTAATAACTCAATTTTATTAAAGTATTATACATGAGTAAATCGTTGTACCCATTGCGCTGCATTAATACTTGAATACTTATGATTATTTTTATACTTTGTACATCTAAACAGAAAAATAGTAACCGGGATAAAATATATAAAATATATCAAGGTAGTATATAATATACACGTGTCATAGCTTGAATATTTTGGATATGCCTGCGACGCTACGGAAATATAACATTCACGTGTATGAGATGAAAGTCTGTATTTTTTAAATGTTGATATCCACCACTGAATATTAACATACACCATCATTATAACTATATGGGAAACATTAACGTAACGATAAATGAAAAATACCAGAATTCAATAATATTTTTTATGTTTGAATACAGTCATTTATAAATATTTTTATACACTTTAATGTTATTTTTTACAACATGACAAGCATTTTGAGTTACAAATTAATTTAGCGCTTTTGCAATTACACTTTTTTTTTTAAATGTAAATTTAGTTTTAAAATTATACCTCAGAAAACTCGTTGACCATGTGTGTCC